ACTCTCTCCCTCAGCTACCACTGACAGTGGGTTGATGGTGTGAAAAAACATCATGCGCCGTCTCAATTGTTGAACTGGCCTGCCATGTTGGCGACATCATGAAGGAACCACGTTACTCAACGCACTTACCTCCTCCCTGCCCTGGAAAGCCCACCTCAAATTGGTTTGGTAGCCCTTGTTTGTTGATGTTTTGCTGTGTGAACAGTTCTTAGTGGTGGTAAGAGCTGTGATGACTGGTCAACGCTTCAGGAAAGAGACTCGGAGAGACCTTTTTTGGCGCAACAAAGTTTTGAAAGTCCAATCGCCAAACATCAGTTAAATCCTGATCCTGGGTGAGCCGATAGGAGGCACGCGACTAGTAAAAACAAAAACAGTACTTCACTAAGTCTTTTATGGACAGCAAAATGTATATAAATATGTTTGCTCTAACTTTCACTCTTCATTCATACCACACGTACATGAATGGCTTTAGTAGGGCCCTCACCCAGGACAGGCCTCAAAACACAAGGCGTCAGGCATACCGAGTTTTCGGGCTTGAGTTGAGCTCACGCAATGCAGCGAACTCCCGGAAAATTATATCCGCAGTTCGGCTATTTGATTTCAACCTGCTTCTCTCAGGTGGCAGCTTGCTGTTTCTGAAGGTCTCCAAATTGTTTGAAAAATTTCACTTCGATGGACTCCGCAAGCCACAAGCCAGATCCTGGGTTGTGGGCAGAGCAGTTGACAAATAAACATGTTTTCATTTAAATAGTATGAGGCTTTCGTACCCTGCCCATCGTCCAAAATCTAAAACGGCATTGGGCGTTGGACCAAACCTGTCAAATTAATTTCGTTTCTTCACCCTCGTCTCAATCAGAATCAGAAGCCAGAATCTGTGTGACCTCTTGGTTGACGAGGGCCAAAGAACAGCCAGCATGGCTGCCCAGCACGGCGAACTAACAGCAAACTTGACTTGACTTGTAAATGCTCGGTAAGCTGAGCCATGAGACAGTCCACTGACAACAAAGGCGACGCGTACAGACTGAAGGGCCCCTGGGCCCCAAAGGGATCGTGAACATTGACTCACACGGGGTGAATTTAACAGCATGAGGCAGCACCCTGACCAGAATCACCACCAGTTTGAGGGGACATCCAAGAACGCAATGCTGGTTTACAGTACGTAACCTGCGGGCTTGAAACTGCTCAGGCCAAGCTGCCCCCCACCTCAACTCCACTACTGTTACTGTCCTTAACATGGCTGTCTATGAGCGCTTTGCTAAGCTTTTTGCGGCTTAAAAGCCTTGTAGGAGTATACTGAGTATACCTGTCACAGAGAACAGTCACTGCTCAACTCATCCAGCGCTGCACCTTTTTTGCGGGAGCATCCACAAGTGCCACAGTCACAGTGTCTGTCACACGATCAGTTCACATCCTTCGGGTCGTCTGTCTCCACCACTTCGTCGTCCTGCACTGCTTCTTCCTCCCCACCTTCATTCGCAAGGTCCGCGTCTTCCTCAATCCCACCATCCTTCGCCGCCTTCGCATCATCGCCTGACCAAAGCAAAGACAATGGCAGTCGAGAGCATGGATAGCTTGGGTGGATACTGTGACTGGTAGAAGCAGCAAGGCAGGTCACGTCCCACTGTTCACTGTTACCCAATGCCAATATCATGTTCATTGAGTTTCATGAAATGGGCCCAAACAGTCTTGGCTGTTTTGCTGCCTGCACCCTGGTCTGGGATCTTAGCCCTCAAAGAAGCCTCCCAGGATTTTGATTTGGCGTTGCAAGAGATTTGAATAATAACAGCAGCACGTAAGGCATAAGGTCAGCAGGCTTGCGAGTCAGGGTTTGATGTGTAAAAAACATCGATAGTCCAAGTTTTGACCAGTCATCGTCAATCCAAAAGATTTGAGGACGCGGCAGCCAATTGGCGGCAGAAGTTAAAGCTGTCTCCACCCACGGCGTGAGTTCGGACAATCTCCTGATAGGGACATTCAGAGACGGTGACGGGGCGTCCGAAAGTTTTTAAGCGCAACTCTTTTTCACACATTTTTCTGAGTCGCCCACGATGGCTTCGCGGCACTTCTGTGGATCCAAACGCATGCCGCCAACCTAGTTTCACCAGTTTGTAAGATTGGGACGCAGAATCGAACAGAAGCGCAACGCGAGATATTAGTTTAATCAAAGCGCAAGCCAATCCAATACAGACCTAGTGTAGGACACACAAATCACGAAACCTGCACGAAGAAACACGTTGACACACCAAGTACAGGCTAGGAGCGCAAATCTCACTCCCATCAACTTTGATGCAAAAGCGGCGTCCCCCCATAGTTGTACACATTGGTGACATGGCTGCCGCCACCGCTACCACTGCCACCACCGCCACCACTCCCACCACCTACTAGGCACAAGACTTCAGGCAGAGTAATGATGGCGCGCAATGAGCCCAAACAAGAATCAAGCTTTCCGGCCTGATGGGCGGCGAAGAGCAGATGGGCGCTTCATCACAGATGGAGCAGGCGCGCTGGAAGAGCCACCCCCTTCAGCAAGGCTATTTCCTCCCTCAGGCTCAACTGGTGCTGGTTCTTTTTTTGGGAGTCACCTTTGCTTTCGTTTTTGGCAAAGACTTGGCCTTTGCCTTCGGTTCTTCTGATTCTGCTGTTTCCGCCTTTTTCTTTGGTTCCGCCTTGGCCTTTGACTTTCCCGTTGGTTCCGACTTTTTTCTTTGGTAATGACTTTGCCTTTCCCTTTGCTTCAGCCTTTGGTTTCTTGGCAGGCGCCTCACCTTCAGGCCACTCCACCGCCGCGGGCCGCTTGCGAACCGGAGCGCCCTCCTCTCAGGCATCCGCGTTTCGAATGCATGTGGAGCTTTGAAGGCAACTTGACAACCGTTTCTGGTTACAGCGTTGATTAAAGCAATCTAGAAAAAGACATGGACTGATGTTCTCCTCTTCAGACCCACTCAAAGCAGTAACTGCTGGAAGAACTGCCATCCGCCACACAGCTAAACTCTGCCAGTCACACAAACGTCAGACACTTTCTTTGAGGGCACTAAAAATGCCGGCGCATTCAGCTTCAAAAGAGCAAACACTCGTACTAGTAACATGGATTGAAGGGGCCTTTAAGTGGCATTGCAATAGTATATAGTCATTATTGCGTGTCCATGGGTCTTGAATCCAAGCAGCGCATTCATTTTGAACTGCTGTGGTCTTTGGGAAAATGAACTGCCAGCAACTGGGGCTATGATTCCACGCTCACGCACTTGCCCCAGGCCCTACAGAATCGACAGGCCGGTTGACAGCTGGAGGGGGGTGGAAACACGTCGAGTTGATAGTATTTGAATTATTTGAAGTGAATCCAACATGCTCAGAAAGGATCTTGAATGGCCTCCTCCCAATCACAAAACGCCTGACTGATTCACCATGAAGAATTTTCAAACCCAGAGGCTCACAGCTTGACCCAAGTCAAAGGAGGAATTTGGACCGACGCCGTGAGGTACAATTTTGGCTTGGTCGGCATGACCTTTGGCGTTGATCCTCCAGCTTGCACTTGGACCTGAGGCAACTCCGCTGGGCTGACTTTATGAAAAGTCCCCAATCTCAGTGGCATTACGGCAAAAGGTCTTGAGGGTCACGTCTATTGATAGCTACAGGTTCTTTGTAGTTTTTTTCTTGCAAACCCCTGCCTCCCACACCAAACCCGCGTGAGAACAGGAGGACTGACGGGGCACCTTATCCATCGCACCCCCAAAAGCGCACCCCAAAGTTGAAGGCTTGTGGGCCGAGTGATCGAAACCAGAAGCCAATGAATTTGGCTTGAAGCAGTTCGTTGACATAGAGGGATCAGGCTTCACGTCATACCTCCACGGAACCAATGTAGGGCCAGATTTGTCCGTGCCAGCAGGAGCCTGAGACCGCGTTTGTGAATCAAAGGTTTGCGCAAAATATGTAGGTTTTGGACGCAGGTTGAGCCAAGGGGCAGGCTCCATTTTTTGCATGCATTCATGGTCCCAAATGGCAAGGTCAGTGATCCCACGCTCCTGCCCAATCTTGCAAAGGAATTGACAGAATGGCATGGGCGCTTTTTCGAAGGCGACCAACGTCATGTCGCTCTCCAATCGCCAGGGGAGCGTGTGGGTTTCAGCAGGACCCGAACCTAGAACATTACATGGCAAGCAGAAGCACGCTAGCCGCTATTCACGTTCTCGGCGTCAAGCATGTTGTCCAACATCTTTTATCTGTAAAATGTGCAGAAAACGTGTTTCAAATTGAATGGCCCAGAAACTTTTCACAATCCTCATCTCAAAGGACCCCACATTGAAGCCGAAAAGTTCTCCGCAAGGAACATCCATCGCCTCCGAGTTCAAGTTCCCGAGGTAGATATCAAAAGACTTCGTGATCAGGATCGAAGGCCTGTTCGCCTTTCCGGGGCACAGCGCCAACCTCGGGAAAAAAAGTACCCCAAGGCACAAGAAGGAAGCTTTCAACCCCAACATCATAAAAGCACTGATTAACCCTGGGCCCTCCAGTACAAGCCACACGTCTACGCCCATCAATTGGACACGACGTCGCTGCACAACCGACTTACGTCAAAAGCCTAGCAACCGGTCCTCCTTGAACTCGCTGGACGGCGTTCTGGCAAGGTCAACCTCCCGAGACAGGTCCAACACACGCGTCCCAGTAAAGTCAGGCGAGCCGGCAGCCCTTGCGCTCACAACGGCGCTCTCCCCACCAGCGGAAGAAGGCCACAAGTCTTCCAACTCCTTCTTCATCCGCAGAATCTGCGCATGCTGTTCACTCCCGTCAGCAAATTTCCTGACCAAAGCATCTGGGAAGATTGGCCGGTTGTTGTGCCACAGGACCAGTGACAGGGAAGGTTTCTCCTTCTCCTCCTTGGGACGTTGTTTTGCTGGCGCGTGCGAGCTACCATCCCAATGGTTATATACCATCTCCTCCACTGCAGCAAGGTTATCCTTCTGCGAGTCCTTGATCAATCCCATGTAAGAGAGAGAAGGTGTGTGCCCGGCCAAGCGTCTCTCGCAAACAGCGCGGCCAAATTCCGCGTACCTTGTGGTCAGGGCTATATACTCCCCCAAACCTCAAACCTCAACAAAGAAACGCCAACTGATTTGAACAGACCACACGCACTGCAAGCCGGCCTGTTGGGGAGGATGTCGAAGACTATCACTTTGTCTTCGGGATCTCGCGTCAGCCCGTTCAGGTATGCATCGATGATGCCATTGTGGACTGCAAGTCCCTTCCTCAACACCACTGCGTGTAGGTTCTACTGCTTCAAACTCTGTCCCCCCCCAAAAAAAAAACACGCACACACCTGAGCGCAAAAATTTCCTTAATTTCTCACCAAGCAAAGTGTCTGCTCGACGCGGGCAGTGGGGCCCGGCTTCACATCAGCGTCATATCCAATCAGGTCTGTGAACTTGATGAGGGTCAAAGGCCCAATCAAGGCAGGCGGCGACCAATGGAGGGACGCTCTCGTGCCAGATCCCGTGACTGCGATGCACGTTTGGATCCCACTTCTTCGATCAGAAGACCGTGCATCCTGTGGCTGCGCAAAGTTCACTGCAACCGTTTGCGTGACATCCAGGCCGGCGCCCATCAGGTGATCCTCAATGATCCTCCTGTGCTTGAGCAAGGCGCTGCTCGCGGTGTTCGAATGGAGCACTGGAAGCTGCACGTGACCGATGTTTGTCACACCCAGGCTCAATACCGTTGCCAGCGTGTTCAAAGCATTCTGGACCACCATTGCATTTGCCGGAAACACAGTCGCGTCCAGCAGCGCCAAAACGTACCTTTAAACCCTAAATTAAAAGAAACGACTGTGGCCAATATAGAAAAGCCAAAGGTGAAAGAACATAAAAATAGCACCAGCACCAAAAAAAGAATGGGCAAGGTACGCACGGCCTCCGCCTTCTGTCAATTTGCTGATCTGAGACGTCAGTGCTCTGACGGCAGAACTCATTGCGCTGTCAACAACAATGAACTTGCAGCTCGTCTCCAGCCAGTCTCGGGTGTAATCCTGCCCAGTCCTGAGGAACAAAATGGAAAAAGGCTGGTCAACCTCCACACCACCCACAAATACCAGACTGACCCCAGATAATAGCGCAACGCAAGATATCCTATATGGCTCATCCCTACTTGCCCCCGCATAGTAGGGTCAAACCTTGCGTGGTTTTTTGAACTGCGAACCCAAACAAATCTGACACAAGTGTCTTCTGTCTCTGAGCCAAGTATTTGATGTCGAGGGCCGCCTCTTGCGCTTCCTTCTCCTTCGTAGGCACGCGCTCCTTCAGCACTCCCAAGTCCGCCTCAAACTTGAGTTGGAGCTGCTTCAAAGTGGCTGTGTTCACCTGGTCAGCCAATTCACGGTCACGCTCCTCAACCTCTCGCTTGCCGCGCTCCGCGATGTCCGTGCAAATGCTCCTGCGCTGTTTTGAATGGGCCACCAGTGTTTTACATGGGACAAGGTCATTTTAACCAAGAAGGCTTTCAGCCAAAACAACCTTGCAAACTGCATCGCAAACCCCTTTCCTCAGGAAGGCCACAGAATCCAAAGGCGCTGGTGGCGCCGTGGTAGAGATTGCATGCACGATGTCAGGATCGAGAAACCCCATCATGAATTGCTTTTGTAGATCGCTGGCAACATCATCATACTCTTTCGTTGGCACCTTCTCTCGCAGCAGTCCCATGAAATACAAGAAGCCTCCACAGCATGCGTGCAATTGATTGCTCTCACGCAAGCCCCAACTCTTGCACATGTTCGGTGCCAACTTGTCCCAGTCTTGGCACATGCGGCGCACAAGTAGCAAAGCCTGAGTTTCTGAAAAGGTCAGCCGCGCAAGGTGAGCAATAACTTATGGGCTGCGTGTTTGGTCCTTAAATATGGCCCAAAAATTCAAATCCCCAACTCTGCAAGTTGAGAAGCTCAAAGGATACAAAATGGGTCAAATAGCGTGGAACTATCACTCCAGTTTCAATGGTCTGAAATTGTTGGCGCCTACGTTACTTTGTAATTGGCAGCAGTATCGGCAGTGGCTATCGGCAGTGAACCCCAAAGCCCAAAGCTCAACACGGGAGGCGTGACACGGACGCATTCTATTTACTTTGACAACCAGCCAAATTGAACGGGTTACCAACAACACAGCATCAACAGCAGCAGCAGCAGCAGCAACAAGAACAACAGCAGCAAAAGCCAGCTTAACGTCGTCAGGGAACAAGCTCATTGTCATCCTTGTTTGTGAGCTGGCTAGACCACACTTCGGCCCCAGGAATCGAACTGGCGCCCGATGAGTAGGCCAAATTGAACACGCCCTTCGCGACGGTTTCGTGGTGCAGGAAACCGCGCATCCCGCGCATACGAACGGCCTGTCGAAGCGAATCCACCACCGGCTTAGCCACATTTTTTTGCAGATTGACCACCGACATGCTTTCAAACTTTCCGATTTGGAAAGCGCGAGCTACGGAGGCTGCATTGTCCCACACCTCAATTCGCAGAACATACTCCAACTCGCAAAACAGGATCTCAACACAGTGAAGTAACAAACCAACAGTTTGAAGAAATTTGTTTCATTCCAATTCTGGGCCGCTGGTTCTTTCCCCCGACTTGGCCATGAAAGAAAAGCCCCCAAGTTGCTTGCGACCCATCCAAAACCTGGGTTTTGAGTTCTCGACAGAAGACTTGGAGGGGCCTTTTCATTGCCAAATGCTGACTAACGCAACAAGGTAAGCTAGCGGCACTTATTATTCAAAACAAGTAAGCGCAGCTCAGGCACAGCAAGCGATTCTCCGGAAGATCCCGCGCGCTCCAGAACTTCCATCTGTCGCATCAGATTGAACACGTGAGGCGCTCGCCTCGTTGAGGTTGAGGACATGGTAATGCCTGCATCAAGGCCACATGTAGGCTACAAAGTGACTAGTGGCGGCTATTGCAAGTGAAATGAAGAAAACCCAACACCTAAGACAGAATGGAGAAAACCCGACTGCTAAGACCAATCGACTAACAGCCGGGTGCCTCTAGAGGCAAGGACCTGGTCCTGCACATGGTCATAGTGGGCATAGGTCGCGTGCACTGTCTTCATAGAGTTCTGACACACCAACAAACTGAGTCTCACAGTGGCCCTCACACTCAAGCAACCAAACAACGTTCGCTTTGCTACCTCGACCTCCAAGAGAGGTCAAGTCAAGACCACAAAAATAAATAGGGCCAACTGCAGTGTAGTTGGCCCTATTTCCTTTTGCAGTCTCTTGACCTCTCTTGGCTCTTGCCGACGCCGCTCGGAAAAACACGCTACCTCCGCACCTTGTAGGATTCAGAAAGTTCATCGAAATCCAGAGCCAAAGTGCGGATTGCTTCTGCAACGATCAAAGCCGTGATCGATCGCCTCCAGCCCTTGATATATGCAACGGAAAAAGGCGGAATTTCATCACCTTACACAGCGACCCAATTTCAATTTCTATCTTTGGGTGCACACAACACACCACCATAAATATACTAAATATCAAGAACGATGAGCGAACCCTTCAAAGACTGTGCTGCGCACTGGCCAAGGGTGGCAAAGATTTGCACGATGCCTCAAGGAATGCGCTATCTGGCTTAGTGATAGCCAGGCGCTCTACGCCAGGCAAAGCTGCATCTGTACGAAACCTAGGTTCCAAGCATCTTCAACTGAAAGTGTTCAGTCCAGCTGAGGTTCGGCAACACCTTTTGCTGAAAAAAATTGCACATCGACTCAGCCATGAAACCCCTCCGTCAGGTAGAGCTCCGCCAGAGTATACAACTGTTCCGGTTCCTGAAGGGAGCTCAACCCGTGATCGGCTCGCCATGCAAGGTGGTACGGTCTCAGGGTGTGCACACCCTCGCGCAGCTCATCTGGTGATCTGTGCCTGCAGCTGCTGCGCTTGGCAGCTCAATGCACCCTTGAATTGCAATTGTCCACTTGGATTGGCTTGCATCAAAGACCCCCACAAGTCCGGTTCGACCTGCCTGAAATGCAGGTTTTGG